ATGTCACTAGAAAACTGAAGACTCCAGCGTTCATTTATTGTGCTCATTCATGACCAAACAAGTCATGAGATATTGGACCTTAAGATTTCAACATTCTGATTGCTATCTGGCCCACGCTTTTATTGTCCTACTTAAAATGACTTTTTGTTTTTAAACCACTGATATTCCACAAACAGAGCCTTGGAAAGCTGTGATTTCAAGTTGCTCACATTGGTTTCTGCTTCTAGCAATTCTCAGCATTACAGCTCTTAAACCGCTTTATTAGAGTGGAAGAAAAGCCAAGATGGTAATTAGAGTGGCATTTTAAGATTGGATATCTCTCCATCTGCTAGTGTAAGTAACCAGTTGGCAGAGCAGTATGAAACTTTCAGTACCCATGAGTGTTTCCAGGAAGTGGCCCTGGGCCAGTGACTAGAAGAAAATTTTAGCCCCTGGACACACACACTGATTGGACAGCATGTTATGTGTACACAATGGAAGATCCATAAAAGCAGGTAGCTAAACATTACTTCATATAGCTAAATCACAAGTACAATATGACAAGTTGAGAATAATCACTGGACTGCTTTTGCCAGTTACTCTATAAATGTCACGGCACAATCTTTGGCCAATTGGATCTTTGCCCCATGTTAGAAGTAATGTATTTAAATAGATGCCCATTTCCATTGGCTGCTGTAGGGGGTGGGATGGATGAAGGGGAGGGTCTTTACTAATCTAGGATTCAGGATTAGCATTTACTATGCAGTGGGTGGTGCTTTATTGGTATATTTAATAATAGTCAATTATTGTAGGTGCTTTGATGGATTCAGTTTGTTTGGCAATGGCCACTTGCTGCATATTTTCAAGGTGTTAAATGTGCGTTGCTAAGATTTCCTAGTCAGTTTAGGCTCTCTAGTTTTGTTCAGTGACAGGAACATAATATATATATATATATATTTTATTGTTTGCAGTGTATGTGTGATAGACTCTGAACTAAGGAAGAATTCAGAGATTAGCAGTGTGCTGTTTCCTTGGCAAGATAGAATGGCCATTTTTTTTTCCTGTGACTTCTGCGTTGTATTATGTAGGAGACATCGCATGTTAGAACATGGAGTGAAGCCATTCAGTGAATTTCAGAGAGAAAACTTTAAAAGAACAATCTGTATTGCAAATTCTAGTTTGTATAAACGGGCCTGTTTCAGGCAAGATTGGTGAAATTTACAGTAGCATTGGGTGTGGAAATAGTCTAATCCACTGTTTAGTTCAAAACACAGAATTATTAAAGGGAGTCTCATCAGCCTGTTCAGGAAATGGTTTCGGGTCGCATATTAATAATGGGGAATGACCGATTTTTAATCCAGTATTCCACTAAGCATCTTTTTTGCGTTTAATTTGAGATATTTTTGGACGACTTACCAAGGTTAAAGAGCGGGTTCTTCCAGCATCCACTGTAACACTCAATCACTATTATTGCATACAAACTATTACTTTAACAGTGCAAAAAAGCAATAAATATTCCTGTTCTATATCTGGAAAGTACCTGGACAGTGCATTCATATCTTTCTATTGCTACAGTAGAAGTGGACATTTAACTTTAGTAGATGCAGTTTGAAATTTTAAAATCTGCAGGACCAGATAACTTGCACCTAAGAGTTTCAAAAGAATTGCCTGAGAAAATATGAGGTATTAATGTTGATTTTTTTTTAAACAAATCTTGGCATACTGGGGAAGTTCCAGAGGACATAAAAAAACTAATGGTGTGCCAGTATTTTAAAAGGGTAAACAGAATAAACCAGCAAGGAGTCTTGTGGCACCTTATAGACTAACAGACGTATAGGAGCATGAGCTTTCGTGGGTATTATACGTCTGTTAGTCTATAAGGTGCTACAGGACTCCTTGCTGCTTTTACAGATCCAGACTAACACGGCTACCCCTTTGATACCAGAATAAACCAGTTAGTCTAACATTAATCCAAGGCATAATCATGGGTCAGCTGATATGGGAGGCAAACAGAAAAGAACTGAAGGATAGTTGCAGAATTGGAAAAGTTCAGCAAAAAGCTACAGGAACGATCCATGGTCTGGTAACTTGCCGTATGGCAAGAGATAAGCTGAATCTATTTAGCTTATCAAAAGGAAGGTTAAGTGGTGACTTGATCACACTCTGTGGGTACATCCACACAGGGATTAAAAAATCTGCAGTTGGCCCAGGTCAGCTGACTCGGGCTTGCAGGGCTCGGATTCTGGGCTGAAGAATTGCTATGTAGATGTTCGGGCTTAAGTGGGAACTTGAGCTCTGGGGTCCTATATGGGTGTAGGGTCCCAGAGCTCAAGTGCCAGCCCAAGCCTGAATGTCTACACAGCAGTTTTTAGCCCCACAAACCAGAGTAGGCTGCTCTGGGCCAGCCTGGCCATGCCGCAGGTCTTTTATCTCTGTGTAGACATATCCTATAGGTACCTATGTAGGGAGAGGATTTCTTTTACTAAAGGGCTCTAATATGGTGGACAAAGACATGAAATAATCTCATGCTGGGAAGCTGAAGCTAGCCAAATTTAGACTGGAAATAAGTTAGAGATGAGGTAATTATTGGAACAGCTCACTTGGGGATATTGTGAATTTTCTGTCACTCAGAGTTTTAAAATCAAATTGGATATTGTTTAAAAACATGCTTTGGCTCAACCAGAAGTTTATAGATTTGCAGATTTTTAAGGCTGGAAGGAACCATTGTGATCATCTAGTCTGACCTGGATTGCTGGTACCAGAGGCTCAGTGGCGTAGGGATCTTGAGGAGCCACAAGGTGCCGGAAGGGGTTTGGGCTGCCCAGCGCAGCGCTTAGGGGTTCAGGCGGCCCAGCGTGGCCCTTGGGGGGTGCGGGGGTTTGGGTGGCCCAGTGAGGCGCTCGGGGGGGTTCGGCGGGGGTTTGGGCAGCCTGGCGAGGCGCTTGGGGGGGGGTGTTGGCGGCGCAGCGCTGGGGGGGGAGGTGTTACGGCGGGGCGGCGCTCTTCTTTTTTGCCTGGGGC